TAGTGTACAGTACCGGTGTTTAACTAATGCAGGTGGTGATGAAACTGAAGCAGATGATATATTTAATTCTCATACTGTAGTAGACACAGTGTCGGCATATTTTGGTTTATCCCTTATTCTAAAAGTCAAAGTCCTCATATCCAACTGAATCGGTTTTCTAACTCGTTCTCTCAGGTGATTTCTCAGTGGGCCAGAATGTTCTCAATGAATATGATGTTCAGAAATGTGAAGCGATGTGTTTCTCATGTCATGTTTCTAAAGTCAGATATAATTTGTACTGTTGAAATATTAAAGGAAAACATGTACTTGACAGTTGTTTTTTTGTTCGAGGCTCCGCCGACCGCTCTCTCATCGTCAGTGTGGATCTGTGGCGTCACATGCTGCAGGTCGTCTGTCACCAGCAGTCATGACCGAACCCCCCCCCCACCCCCCCATCTGTTCAACTCGCCCCTCCCTCAGTGGGACCGCCCTACCAGAGAGCGCATTTAATGTTTTAAATTTATTGTTTAATATGAATACATTTGTTGTTATATATAGTACGGGACACTTCACAGCTGCAGACTCTGTGATTCGTGTTGAACTGAAACATTTTTCAGCTGGGGGGGTGCGGGGGTGGGGGGGTCCGCCCTCTTCCTGGTTAAGCCACGCCTACACTTGATGTCGGACCACGTGTGTGTTTCTGCTGTTTTCAGTCGCTTTTAAACTGAGCCAAAGAACGTTAGCTTGTTTTCCATGTTGAGTCCTACTTTTAATCACATTTGCTCCCTGAATCTCAGCTCCTGCACGTACTCCGACTTCTTGTGTCAGCATCACGTGTCCCATGTTTGCTGCCTGCCAACCTCACGTGCAGCAGGAAGGACGGAGAGACGTGATGGAGCTAGAGGTTCATGAGCACCTGAAATCTTAGTTCAGGCTTAAAGACAGAAAAATGTCAGATAATACTGCAAAATTCCCTCCATTAATTTCCAGAGCCTAAGTTGACATCTTCACACTAATTAAGATATGTAACGTACAATTATATGAAATGTATTTAGCAATGGCTACTCTTCCTGGGATCCCTTAAATTCATAAACAAGTCTTCAATGACAACAGATACATCAATACACATCACAATGAAACCCGAAATACGCGACGCAACCTCTACGACGCACAACAACCAACACCAACTCAAAACCGCTCCGATACACAGCTTCCAATAGCTCTTATTTAATCATTTCATTTCTTAATAACTCAGAAAATAAAACTTTACACAATTCAATCCACTAAGTCACAAAAATAAGAAAAAGAAAACATTAAAAAAAACATGTTTGATTCCCAGAAATGATGTGTATCCACTTGAGTTTGCAGCTGTCACTATTTCATCCATGTCCCACATTCGCTTTCCCTCAAACATCCTTTTGACTGTGTTTGTAAATGATTCAGTGTCCTTATTAATTGTCCTATCTTCCTCATTTACTTTCCGTTTATTAAATACATTTTTTGTAAACAAGTTTGCAGCTAATTAATAAGTAAACCGATTTATTTATGGGCTTTTTACTGTCATGGATCCACTCGTTTCCCTCCTCCTGCCCCTTTTTATGATCTCAAGTCTGAAGAGTTTCCCTCTTCTATTTCGCTCTCCTCTCGCCTTCCCTCCCTTACTTCCCAGCTCCTGTTAACAGCTTCTTAATAGCCTCCATTTAGTGTGTCTTAAATGACCGTCTGCCCTCCCACCTGCTTCCCCTCGACTTTCATCACTGGTGTTCCCTGGTTTCCTTCACGGAGAGAAGCTGCGTCAGAGACAGCCTCCGTTTATACAGCGAGTCTGACAGTGTTCATATATGATCTTATTCTGTTTGTTGAGGGAGATTTTGTTGATTTGCCTCTTTTCTCCGCTTTAGTTCCCTTCAGCATCTCTGTGAACGTTTTCCTTTTGGGGGATCGGGGGGAAATAATACAATCAGCGAAACAAACTAGAAGGCAGGGGGTTATTTATAATGGTCAGACAGGGAGGAGATTTCGGGGTGGAGGGGAGGTCAGATATAATATTTCAGGTGCTGGTGAGCCCATTGGTCTGTGAGAAAATCAACTTCCATAAAGAGAAAGATGGGGTTTCCTCAGCCTTTGGGGAATGCAATATATACCAACTTATAATGCCAAAACTGAGCCTCTCCCCAAATCTCTCACTCCGTTCTGTTTCCATCTTCAGCCAAAAGGTGAGAAATCTTTTCTTTCCTCCGCTGGTGCTGATTTGTTTGCACAAATTTGATTCATATAGAAGCCTTTTGGTACTGTTCATAAGGTTTTCGGTTGTTTTGGATGTCTGTGAAATGGACCAGTGGGTAAAAGAATCCAGCTCGTTAGACACCGTTGCTGTGAGATGATGATGAAGGCGATGCTGTCGACTGAGGAGTTTTTGTGGATGTTACCGAGGTTAGTTTTTGCGATGAAGGGCTCGGTGCTGCAGGTGTGATGAGTTGTGTTGGTGTAAGTGGACTCTAGAGTTGGAAAGTGATAGTCCCAGTGTTTATCGCTGTGTCATCAAAGACTGCACGAGGAGTTATAACGTGTCAGAGCCAATAAAATGACCCCTGGCTTCATGTTTGATCCAGTTTTGCTCACAATAATGCATTTTTATGTTTTATGTTACGTAACAGAATGCAATATCAGGAAAACAGCTTTGTGAATATGATGCTGCTAATTTATTTATGGTGTGTCTGTATACATTCATACATATATGTGCGTGCATAACTTGTAATATGATCCATTATATTTAATTTTTAAATACATTCATGAATGGTTTGTAATGTGAATTTCATTTGGATCTGCACGTGAGCTCCTGGTCTCAAGGCACAAAAGAAAAAATGATTTTTATTATTATTATTTTTATTTATATAAATACATTTTCTCTTACTTTTTACTTTTTTTTAGGAGTTTTTCCTCCACTTTTACTTTCTCTTAGAGAACCTGTGAAACAACATTTAGACCATCACAGGAGACTAAAACTCTCTATTTTAAAACTCTCTATTATTTTGGTCGAACAGACTGTTCACCAACCTTTAAGGCATGTTCATGTCTTCTAACTCTTGAGATACATGACTATTTTAAGGGAAAAATAATAGTTAATTAATTACAAAAAAAAACCAAACTTTAATTAGCAATAAGAAAGTGAGATGTTTTGGCTGCTGTGTCTGTAGCTGTGCTCAGCAAAGAATCAACTGACACTGGCAGATATTTGACACTTGATAACTGGGCAGAGTTCGGTCATTACCGAGGAGATTTGATATTTAACATATTGAAATCGTAACACTTATCTACCACCTAAAGGTATGACAAATATTTCCGTATGCTGATGATACTCCACTTTATATGGATAATATTTCAGTCAAGTGTATGTCTTGCAGCGAAACCTATATGTGGACAATTAAAAAAAAACATTTTTTGTTGTTTACTATAATGTGACCAACAGTTTAATTTCAAACTAAACTCCTTGACTTTAAAGTAAGTATAGAAATATGTAAAATTGTTTCAAATACGAATCTTACAGTTCAAAGTTTTATATTTAAAATTCCAAATTCCAATATATAAATAAAAAATAAATGTCATATAATTTTATAACAACAATATAACATAATCGGAACAATTAGAGTACAATTATGAAAAGTGAACATAAACTTTTTGTAGAAACTGGATCTGTTTATGTTGCTAATGAGAAAAGTTCATTTAGCAGATGTAGATGTAGATGTAGATTTAGAAGAGAAATTCTGTCAGACTCTGTATTGGAATTGGCAGATACTCAGGGGTAAATAAACCTGATTGATCTGCAGAACCAGGATCAGTGCCAACTCTGTCATTTTTTTTATTGTGTTGGTGATATAAAACCTGATCTATTTCTGCTCCCTTTTTGGTCTGTTGTTAGACATCTAGATCTACACAGTTTTAAAAGACAAATACTTCAATGTTAAAGGCCTCAGACGGTGATTGGGAGCAGAACTGGGATCAGAATCTGTAATTTTCTGATGGGTCAGTATCGGCCACGTAGCGACTGATCCACTTTTTATCCTTTTTTTGTGCATTAATTGGTTAAAAATCTAAATTTTCACAGTGTTGTAAAAGAAAACTGGATCAGACTTGGTATTGGCAGATTTTATGGAATTGTGAACAAAAAAACAACCCTAAATTTTTAATTTTATTAAAAAATAAAGACTGAAATAATTGTTGGGTCATCTTAAAGCCTGGAGAGACGTCAGTTCTCTGTTCTCTGTTTGGACGCAGTGATTGCTGATCTGAATTGTTCTGCATGGCCTCTATTTTAAGAGAAGATGGCTGATGTCTTGGTCACGTCCGAGATGTTTGTACCAACAGAGGAGGTATCAGGTGTTTCTTGATAATCTTCCAGCAGACAGACTTTTCATGACAGGGATGCCCAGGGGGGGACAACTGGACCCCAGATCCGTGCCCTAATTTAGACAAGAGGTTTTTCCTCGAGGCGGCCCGCTGATCCTCGAGTCAGTGTCGTGTTTCTTCTTCTAAGTGGAGTTATTATTTGGGAAAGACCGGACAGAAGAATTCCAGTCCTGTTCAGCCTGACTGCGCCTTCACCCTGTTGCCCATTCCCATCTTGTTGTATTAGCCAAACACCACACACTTAATGACTTTTTCCAATAAATACGCTGTAAAAATGTCTTGACTTTTCATTATTTCGAAATGGACAATTGTTTTTTTTCCGCAGGCTTGAAGCCAAACAAACGTCAACATGTCAGAGTAAGTAATTCTGGTCTCATTTTGTGTTCAAGTTCATTAGATTTCATACCTATAACTCTTAACATTTTAAACTTAAAGACCTATCGTTCCAATCGTAAGATCAACACGTATCTAACTCAGGATTCTCCATGTTGTAGAAGTGTTTGTGCAAATATTTGTACCATTTAAATTTCCTATTATTGAGTTTCTAACATGAATATGAAATTATATGAATCCCAAATGACCATCACGACGAATTGTTGTTGTGTTTTCTCCTCAGGAAAAAGATGTCTTCGAGTCGCAAGCATCATCTGAAGGTAAAAGACTCCCTCAAGTTAGTTTTACGAACAAAAACAAAGAGGTTAATAACAAGGTGTTTATGAACATCTAAGAGTTACCTAAAAATGTTCGATGTGCTGTATCCTTGGCAGAGTTTGATGCTGGCCATCGCTAAAGGTTTACTGGAGGAGGAGGAGAGGGAACAAGAGGAGGAGAGGACGAGGTACATGGCTGAGAACTGCCCTCATGTGTCCATGCCCAGGAGCATGCAGGAGCTGCAGGTACGTCACCAACCCGCCAACACCGACACATTAAAAACCCACGCTGACACATGATCACGCTTTCAACACGTTCATGTGCTGAGGATGAACATAACACAGTTGGCCCTGTAATGCTAGGTCAGTTCGTAGTTCGGTACGGTTAATGGACTGCACTTATAGAGCGCTTTCTATTCCTAGACCACTCAAAGCACTTTACAATACTTCACATTCATACATTCATACTCTGATGGAACAGCCATCAGGGGCAACGTGGGGTTCAGTATCTTGCCTGGGGAAACTTTGATGGGAATTGGAGAAGCCGACCTTCTGATTAGTGGACGACCTGCTCTTCCTCCTGAGCCACAGCCGCCATATTAACAAATTTCCTCATCAGCTTTCGTTGATATTGTGATGAACTTGTTCCGTCCGCATCGTGTTCTTCCGTCTTCGTGACGTGTCGCTGCTGTTTGTGTTCAGGAGCTGTGCAGGGAGATCAACCACAAGATCGACGTGATCGATGAGGAGAGATACGACCTGGAGATGAAAGTCAACAAGTCCAACAAGGAGGTTAAAGAGATTAAATAAAATAATTCAACATCTTAAATCCTGCAGTGGTTTCACTCATCATAAACTCACGCTGTTCTCCCAAATATTCTTCAAACCTACATAACTTTATTTTAAAATGTAGAGGAGGCTTTCCTCTATTCCCACCCTCAGGATAAACTTTACATTTTTACCTCAATTTTAACTGATAAATCTTTAAGAATAGAGAAAATGGATATTTTTCATTCTGCCAAGCACAGGGTAAAGAAAACTGTATTTCATGCCACTGAAAGGTTTAGAAACAAGATTACAACCCTACAATATAGAGTATTCAGAGTAGATAATTATTGTTTGGCTGAACTAGGTTGTAAATGTCAGTGAAGTGTTCAGTAGTGAGCTGACTCTGCTTGTAGTGAATCCAGACTCTGTCTCGTCTTCACCTTCCAGATCGACGACCTGAAGATCAAAGTTCAGGATCTCATGGGCAAATTCAAGAAGCCCGTCCTGAGGAAAGTGCGTATGTCCGCTGACGCCATGCTGAAGGCTCTGCTGGGCTCCAAACACACGGTCAACCTGGACCTGAGGGCCAACCTGAAGCAGGTCAAGAAGGAGGTGAAAGAGGAGGTGAGGAGCTGGACTCATTTCCGTTTGCGGGGTCAGCCCTATGTTCCCACATTTCTTAGAACTTTTTTTTCACAGAAATTTTTGAAAATTAGGGTTAGGGTTAGGGCTGTGGGAACATAGACACGCTCCCCCGTTTGCACCTTTCATGACGCAAGTAAACTGACTCAAACTTCCTTTACCATTAGCTATTATTTGTCAAGCTGCTATCACCTCATTGATATCCGTCTAAATCTGCCTCTAATATCAACAAGGAGCCATATGTAAGTTTGGCTATTGCTACATATCTTATGTTAGCAGTAACAGCTGTTAACTCACTAGTCTAGAGGAAACATCAAACTTCATTCACTCACCAGGAGTTGTCTCCAGCGGTGGAAAGCAACTCTTGTTTTGCTTCTATTTCTATCACATCTTTTCTTGTAATCGAGTTAGCATGCTAACCAGCTAGCCCCAGCCTGTTTGGCCTATCTTTTCACTTTCCGATACCGAGTCACTGTACCGTCCACTCTGAAGTAAAGTGCTGCACAGAGGAGGTATTATAACCTCTTTTACTTTAAATACAACAATGGCTGTGGCTCTTGGCAAAACTGGTAAGTCAACAGCTGTTAATGCTAACGCTAGCTCTGATGTTTGGTCTTCTGGGTGTTTCAGGATAAGGAACTGCGTGACGTCGGTGACTGGCGTAAAAACATTGAAGACAAATCCGGTATGGACGGGAGGAAGAAGATGTTCGAGGCCGAGGCTTAAATCAGTGTCTTAATAAACCTGCAGTATTTATAGTCTGTTTTTCATGGATTGGTTTGGACTGGTTTGGACTGGTTTAACTGGGTTTTAAAATGTAGAAACTTTAGTTGAATAAACAAGCAACACTTGCTGAAGGAGCTGTTTCCCTTTATCTTTACGTTGTTTTACATGTATTTGTTGAAGAAACTGTATCAAAACATACAAGTCAAACGCCACTGGTCTTGAAAGACTATTATAGATTTATTAATCATTGTCATTAATCATCATCATCCTTAATTTAGTGGTCGTTTTGTGTCATTTATGGTCATTTTGTCACTTGTGGCCAATTTGTGTCTCTGTGGCCATTTTGTTTCTTTTTGTGGCCCCTTTGTGTCCCATTGTGGTTGTTTAATGTGTCTGTGTTTGAATTGTGGTCACTCTGTCACCCTTTGTGGTCATTTTGTGTCCTTTTATAGTTATATTATGTCTCTTTGTATGAAGATACAGATACAGCGGGTGGATGGAAGTTAATGGACAGAGTCCAGTTTCTTGGTTGTTGCTGTTTTATGACGTGCAAAGTCTCTAATGGTGTCAGACCGACTGACCCAAGCTGTCATCATCAACACTTTGTTGGAGGTGTCATTTTATGGTGATGGACACATGACCCCAGATAATTTCATATACATCATTTGCCCCTTTAAATCAACTCTACGAACTGTTCCATTCTAACTGTTCTATTGGAGACTCGTTCTCTTTGTTGGCGAACAGAATTTCTCCAGTTCACTCAGGAACAGATCAGAGGTTGGTGAAGTCTTTTCAATTTCTTGTTTTGTTTGATTTTAACCTTTTGTCCTAAATGTTTATGTTAATATTTATGTAACACTATTTAATAAATGGTTTCTAAGACACTATAATGTAACAACAACTGTAAATAGAGGCGGGTGCATAAACATTATGATATTTTAATGACAAATTAGTAAAACATAGTTGTAATTATATAAAATATATGTTTATATGAGGTTATAATTGTTGACAAATACTGCACATTAATAAACACTTAAAAATGTCCTTATATTTGCTTAAAACTACATTACAGTGTGTTTATTAAATGTTTATTTACTGCTCATAAATACTAAATAGGGGCTTAAAGTTTGATGTTATTCATGCTTATGGTCTTTTTGGCCTCCATTAGACTTCATACATGTATAACCTTGATATGACCTCATATAATTGAGTTGACATTTACATGAAGTCAATTGTTTTGTTTTTACATTTCAGGTTTTCATCTGACTCTTGTACAGATGCACCTGGCAGCATCAGTACACCGTGAGTTCAACTTCCTTCAGTGTTTTCAATGCAATCTGTAGTCCAAATATAAAGCAACTGTTGCTCCATGACCAAAATAAATAAGTTTGGCAGCTGACAGTAAATTTAATTCAGAGACCAACACCAGACAACATTAAGTTATCGATATTTTCTGATACAGTCAAAAGTTCTTGTAAATGCTGCTTATGATCATTTAATGCTGCAGTTACAGATTGAAGACAAACTGATAGTGTTTGTCAGTCAGGTTTGCTGGAAACATCAGCCTTCAGACTGCGGCTAACAAAGGTCACCTCGCAGCCTGCAGGTCTTTAAAAAACGAGTTACGCCTGATAATCAGAACAGATCATAATCTCTCATAAAACTTACTCTTAAATAGTTAGTTAAATTTCTGTTTGTCTATTTGTCATAACACCAAACTCAGTAATAGAATTTATTAATTGCAGCATGAAAAATATGGAAATAAAACTGGATTGGATTGATGTGAAATCATTGGATTGAGTCCTGCAGGATTTATAAATACGTCACTGTCTTAGTGGAAAACTTAAACCTGAACTACAATATGAAACATAAGATATTTGCAGATTAATATCCTCAATCAATCAATGCAACTGCTCTAGTTTATATGATAATAAATGGCACTTAATGTACATTCATTTGTCTTTCTGCTGTATTTTCCAGATACAGTGACACAGATTTCATCCTGCAGCAAGTCAGTGAGTGTTTCCCTGTAACCTCTAAATAATGTCTGTCCCTCTTTCTATATATATACATTTAAATGACCTGCTGATTAGAAAATGCCGCAGTGCTTTAATCACTTTCCTGCATTTTGTCTGTCAGAAGCTCGATGGCACCAAATAATACAGATAAGAATCTTAAAGGGCGGGTTATTTATAATGAGGCGAGCCGAGGAAGGGGGCAGATGACACTGTACTGTATTTCATGACCTTGCCAGCTCATTGGTTTGACTGGTAATCCACTTCCATAAAGAGAAAGTGGAGGATTTAGAGGGCTATCAGAGATTGCAATATATACCTTCTTAACACTTCGTCTGCCTGGGACTCAGTCTGTGTCTCTGTGACTCTAACAAGCTGACAGCTCTGCTCGGTTAAAGTAAGAACAACCTTCTCTCAGTCTGATATTGGTTCGGTGTGTTTAGCAGATGTTGTTTGCATGCTCATTCTTCTGCATGACAGCAGCTGTAAATACTTCATCTTGTCGGTGCGTTTGTCAGGAAGTTGTATTTGTCTTTCTTTGAATAACAATTCGTCAGTGGAAGTTTGAAGGTATTTTTAAAGGTGAAGTCTTTGGTGTCGGAACTTTCAGACTGTTTGATGATAACTCACTTGGTGATGAGGCTATGTAGAGTGTGACTGGTTTATGTTGGCGCTCAACCAAGAGATAAATCAATGTGCCAATTAGTTTGATCAGTGTGTAGCGATGGTAAAATGGCAAAGGTTCATGATTGCTTGATGTAGAAGTGCTTTAATAGGAAATTAAGTGCTGGTTATAGAGAATTTTAGCAATTTACACATTTCAAAGTTGGTGTTTAATTGATGTAAAAGTTGTTCAAAGTATTTTTAGTGTTGCAAAAAGAGACAATTTGCATCAGATTTTGGTTTTTTTCAGCTCTTTATTGTTGTGTTCTGGGTGGTTTCTCTGGATTTCTGTGGTTTTACAGGGGTAGTTTTCGTCCTCGGTTTAAAAATGCTCCGACATGTGCTCCGTCTGCTGCCGAGGCAAACTTGTGATTTACAGTCTGGTGATGTGGTGTACTGAAAGGAAACACCACTACAACACACGGACGTGAAAACCGATCCGTCAGTGTTTATCCTCCTGTCAGCGCCGAGGCGTTCAGAGGGGAAACCTGGACTAATCTGCAGCGGCTGCCAACCTCGGTCCCTGTCTTCACTTTACACTTCACTTTAATCCCCGCTCCTCCAGATTTAGCCTGTTTCTCTCACAAGTGTTCGTGTGTTTAGGCAACAGCAAAGCTTCAGGTTGTCTCCTATGATACAGGAGCTTTTACAACTGTTTTTTTTGTTTCTGTGATCACAAAGTTTTCTTTTAAATATCCTTTTTTCCTAATTTAAGAATTAGGTTTTGGTCGAATGGAAATAAATGGCACTTATTGGTTTTTTGCTTTCAGAGAGTTAGTGACAAAGTTTTCAGTCTTAGGAGGAAAAACTGGATGAAACTTCAGTCTCTTTTTTAGCTTTTAACATTTAAGCAACTGCAGAACTTTATTTCACCCTTAAAAAACAATGCTCGTACAATGGAGGAACTATTAAGATGGATTTTGGCAGTTTTTTCTTTCTTTTAGGTATTTTATTTCTCTTTTAGATACAGCTTTTTAAATGTTATTGTACCTTCTTGTGTGAAGCAGATGAATGTGAATCTGGGGTCGAGCCAGTGTCGAGTTATTTTTGCGATATGCTCTAATGTCTTGGCTGTCCCAGGGATGTTCTTTGGTGTTGGGTTACTGCAAAACCCTTCCACCCTCCTCCTCCTCATTTCCAGAGACAATCCCACCCATGACACCCCCCCCACCCCCCCCACACACACTTACTTAAGACAAAAAATCAGGCCCCAAATTTAACCCATCAGATATTATTCCATCTCCAGGGCAAATGTTGTTATGTCCTCCGAGTTTCGACTGTCCTAAAATACATCATCAGCCCTGGAGATACTCCCAACCCCCCAACCCTCGGCCTGTCACTGGTTTAAAGATGTCATTTGTTCCTGGGCCAGCTATGTGTTTTAGGATGCCTGCAGTGGTTGTCGGGCGTCTTTTCTTTTAAGACGAGCCTGCTGTCATGTTTTTCTGTTTTTTTTTTTCCTCCATAATGAAGACGTTCGGAACAGCTGTGGCTCCAGGAATAGAGTCTTAATCCACTGCTCCGTCACAGCTCCTAAACATTACAAGCAGCTCAGGCAGTGACTATCTGGCCTCCGAGTACCTCTGGAAGTGGCCTGAGAGCCCTCAAGGTTGATACTCAAAGGGTTTACCCAGTGTAGTGGTATCTGTCCATGTGGATGGTTTTGGTTTTGTTCTGAGACCTATTTGCTGAGCTTTTAACACACAGTGCTGCTGTGATAAACCAAAGTATCTTGATGGTGGTGGCATTAGATGAAAGTGTTGTTAGTGTTGAGACTACGAATGTCAACCTCATGGTGGTGAGAGAAGAAAAGTTAGGGGATCACCAAAGTCATTGAGCTTCATCGTTGGAATCTTGAATCTGTAACAAATTTCATGGCAATCCATCCAATGGTTGTTGATGGTACTGTCCGTCTGTCTTATGTTGGTTAGTTCACCACTTCTTCCAGTCTAAAACCTATCGAGAGCTTTCCGTTAGCATGCCTGAAGAGATAGTTTTCATGCAGGCTCCATCAGGAGAAAAGGGGAAGAAAACAGCTCTCTGAATCCTGAATCATTTTATGTTTTGGACTGCTCGTCGGCCAAAACGTGCAAGTTAAAGACATCACCGTGGACTCAGAAATTGCGAATGGCACTATTTTTTAAATGGTTCTTTTTAGAGGCAAAGGAGGAAGTGACTTCACGTTTTTATAGCAAATCAAAACCTCCTCAGACAGAAGTGGTTACAGTGGTTTGTTCGGCCAACAAACCACAACCCTGTTGGTTTCTTTAACTGTGAACATGATCTTTCCCCAACACTCTTGTTCCCTATATCAATATTACAATTTGAAACTAATATTTATCCTCCACATTTTGGCAAGTTACAGCCAATGTCCAATCTTTACATTCAACCTTGGGTGAGCAAAATTAAAAAGTAGATTTGTCAACAATTTTCAAGTTTTCTATTAATTTGGAACCAGGTTCTAATTGCATACCCAGCCTCATACAGTGTTGACAGCTGGTATGAGACGAGACCAAAGCTGATTAACAACTGGGCAAAGCAGGGAACTCACTTCAATTCACTGCAGGCTTAGTGTCACAGGCCACTAAATTAATAAATGAAACACAGTCAAAAGCTGTCTGAACGTAGGTAAGGAATTAATCTGAAAACATATATAATTTTTTGGGGAATGGTCAGCATCAAGGTTAAACAAAAAAATTTAATAGTTGATGGAGAAAAAGACCCAACAAGTCTAAAAGTTATCAGCTATGTACAGACAGTAACCCTGTAATGTTTATTACCCATAAGAAAACAAGCCAAGCAGAGATACTAACAATTGGCATTCAACATTTAGCACTTTAATCTGCTCATGCTATGTAACACATTAGCTTGTTGGAACTACTAAAAGGCTAAATTTAGCATGTCAACATAGATACAGTTACCATGTTATCGCTATCATTTTACTTGCCAAAATGTGTCTGTTTTTATCCCAAAATCTAGTGTTTAACATGCTAACGTTTACCAGGTGCTGTAACATGTCGGCATTTCACATTTAACATACTAGCATGCTAGTTTTAGCATGTTATGTTAGCATTATGCCCGGGACACATTGCCTGCTTTGCAAGTGCTTGAGAGCCACCATGCTGAACTGCTGTGTTTCCACAATGCCAGTGTTGCTACTGCCAGCTCTATCTTTCCACACCGAGTTTGCTTTGAATAACGGCCATCATTAATTGAATGTTTGATTTCCATCCATCCATCCAGTTTCTATTGCTTATCCAGGGTTGGGTTGCTGAGGCAGCATGATATGCAGGGTATCCCACTGGTAAATTGAAAGGTTTTCCTTTTGGCTCAGCTCTTCACGTCTGCATCAATCCCCCTCTTAATCCCACACTCCATCCTACCCTTAGTCATGAACATACGCCTGAGAACTCCTTTGCTTGGGTAGCAATGCATCCCCAACCCAGAGGCAACGATCCACTGTTTTCTGGCAGAGACCCATCGCCTCAGACTTTGAGGTGCTGACTCTCATCTGGCTGCTTCACACTTGGCTGAAAACCACCCCAGTGCGGACTGAAGGTCACAGTCTGATGAGGCCAACAAAAACACATCATCTGCAAAGAGTAGATAACGCAGTTCAGAGGTTCCCATACTAGACACCCTCCTTAGTCTGGCTGCACGCTGAGATCCTTTCCATGGATATCATGAACAGGATTGGACACAAGGGACAACCTTGGTGGAGTCCAACACCCACTGGAAACATGTTTGACTCTGTGCCAAGAATATGGACACAGCTCACACTTACAGCAGTGGCCCTGGTACCACATACTCCTGCAATAACCCCCACTGGGTCTCCTGGGGGACATGGTCATAAGCCTTCTCCAAGTCCACAAAACACATATAGACTGGAAGGTCAAATTCCAATGCACTCCCACATGGGTAAAGAGCTGGTTCACTGTTCAAAGAATCCGTTTTGCTCCCCCTGAATCTGAGGACAGTCGGTTTGAACCTCCTTTCCAGCAACATGGACTATACTTTCGCAGGGAGGCTGATTAATGTGATATCCCGATAATTGGAGCACTCCCTCCAGCTTGCTCTGCTAACATGTTAAAATGACTGAAAATCTTTAATGTGTAATATTTAGCATGGTAGCTTGTTATAATACTAACTTTTAGTTTTACTTACATTTAACATGTTAGCATGTTACCATACCTTCATTTAGCATGGTAATATGCTATAATTTAGCATGTAAACATGTTAGCATAACATGCCAACAATTACCATGTTAGCATGCTAATGTTAGCATGTTAGAATTAGCCTCCAAAGTCATCTTAGGCTAAAACAAAGGAATTCAGTCCGCAGTTTTAGTTTTAGAGGGATGGATCATGCCCTGTCAAAAGTTGGACAAGTGTAAATTTTGACCTCTTGGTGGCAGTCAAAGACAAGTTGAAGGGAGACTAGAGCGTCTGAACCAAATTTCATGCCAATCCATCCAATAGATGAGACATAAGAGTGTGGACCACAGGGTTGGACCTCAATCCCCTGAGCCAAGCCGCTGGTGTGGCTAAAAATAGCGGTATGGTCCTTTAAGGCATTAACACGTCCTGGGTTACAAAGTTCAGTTCCATGAAATTTCCTGGAATTAACATGATGCCTTAAGATAGAATCAACATGATCCAAACGTGAAATGTGAGAGAGGTGGAGTTTCTACAGCAAGAGGGAAATAGAAGGAGGAGACGTGACCTCGAATGGAGTGAAGCAGTTTGATATGGAGACAGTACAGTGGACAGGGACGCCGGGACCTGAGATTCAAGTCAGTGGTGGAACATTTGTTCTGTACGGACGTCAGAAACCGACTTTACTAAGAATTTCCAGATATTTTTACCCCTGCCGTGTTAGCATTAAATTTGATATGCAAGTATTAAAATTGTTGAAACAGTTGAAATATCAGATATAGAGTGAATGTATTCTGTTTCATCTCAATAAAAATAACCTCGTCAGAGATACTGTGTCTTTGCTTTTCCACTAGTGCGGCTAAAATGTAAAGTTTGTCGTGTTGCCAGAGGAGGAGGAGGCCATGCCTTTTATACACAGGAGGATGGGCGTTGTTTTCATTTCTCCGGTCATTTATGTTATTTTTACCCACAGGGAGACTGGACAGCTCATAGTGAACAATCGCTCTAAAGAACAGACAGTAGGATATCGGTTTGATATGAATGTAGTGCACAGAAGAACACAAATGCACCTGTGTTACTGACCCCATGTGGCCCACTTGATCATTTCCATTTGTTTTAACTCCTAGTTACTGTTGCCGGCTAAACTAAACATAAATAAAAACTCTCCTTCCCTCTCCTTACTGCCACCATGAATATTATTAAAAAACATGACCAGCTGATCCCAGAGCTGAACTATCATGTAAATAACACTTGATGTTTGTCAGACTGCTGCAAAGGAAAGTCTCTTATTTTCTTCCAGCTCCGTCAGTGCTTCATGTTGTACCTTTATGTCAGGTAGAGGCGACCACGACACATTCCCACCTCCTGTGTAAACAGGAAGTTAAAAGACAAAACAAGTCCCTTGTTCCTTGTTGCTGAATGTGGGATCATGTGTTTGTTTTGTGTCTTTTACAGTTTGTAATATTTGTAGAAATCTGTTGTGTAAAATGGTGAACAATCAATTTATCACATATCCAGAGGTAAAAACATAAGTTTCATACTTTCTTATTTTTTGTTTTTCTGCCAGATAACATCAGGATCCTGCAGCCAACATGGATGCTGAGTAAGTGAATATAATTTATCACTAGCTCATGTTTATTGTCCTGTTTATCTTGAATCTTCATGTTATAGAAATTTCTAATTTCTAAATATTGTCCATTTAATGTTTATGCAGCTTTGACTTCTGAAAACAAACAATGACACACGTGACAGAAATCCCATCTGTTTAATGATCAAATAGATTTTCATGGCTGCGATAAAAGAAACTGCAACACAGATATGATAAACATTTAGTTTTTCGCAAATAATAATAATGGATTTGTGAATTTATTTATTTAACAAATCTTAAATTTCTCCCAGCCTGACGAATGTTTTTATGCCTCTGTCTGCAGGAAGAGATTGTCTGCGAGGCGTAAGCATACTCTGAAGGTAAGAAATGAACAAATAGAAAAGAGGTGCTGATGTTTGTCTGATGATGATGATGATGACGATGATGTGATCTGCAGAGCTGTATGCTGGTGGTGGCGAATAATCTGTTGGAGGCTGAAGCAGGAGTGAAGGCCGATGAGAGGGAGAAGTTCCTGGCCGATAAATGTCCTCCTATCGAGCTGCCGTACTCCAAGGACGAGCTCCTGGTGAGAGGGAACAGGACAGACTGACCAGTTCACACATATCCTAGATAACACCCCTAGTACATACCTCAGAACAAATGTCTATGTTTGTGTCACACATTTGCTCATTTCTGGCTGTTTCGTCGGTTTGATACAAGAAGAAAATATTTCAGGTCAAATGAATTTGGTCAAAGGTTTACAAAAAAACTAATTTCATTTCTCCTCAGGAGCTTTGCCAGAAACTTCATGAGCAGATTGACATCAGTGAGGAGGAGAGATACTCCATAGAGTTCAAGCTGAACATGGTTCTTAATGAGGTGAGACACTTCAAAGAAATTATATTTATTTTTATATTTTAGTGTCTTTTGTGATTAGAGTTTAATGACAACTTGTTGACAACTTTTTAACCTGAATTATGGGTTGTTTTTAGCCTGAATGCTGCTCCTAGTCTTTCAGTTAGTCAGCTGTAAAAGTGTTTTCTGAGGCAGGTTTTGTTGCCACAGATGATGACAGAAATTTCATAGCAACTCGACGTCTTTACCGCAGAAATGAACCAGGGAGAAAATCTGGTCGTTATAGTAATTGATAATAATTTGACTGATAATAAGAGTCAATAATTATCTCTTGTGTCTTGAATCATCCTGAAGGTCCGAGATCTCAACATAAAGATTGTGGATCTGAGAGGAAAGTTCAAGAGACCTCGGCTGAAGAAAGTGCGTATGTCTGCTGACGCCATGCTGAAGGCTCTGCTGGGCTCCAAGCACACAGTCAACATGGACCTGAGGGCCAACCTGAAGCAGGTCAAGAAGGAGGTGAAAGAGGAGGTGAGAGCTCTTCAGACTCACACAGATACTCTACAGACTCATTTCTCTGAGACACAGTTTAGTTTGACGTCTTGGTTCCTTTGTATCTGCTGTAACTTTAAGTTTGTTTTTTTAGAAATCCTAGCCACCTTGAGCACTTGGTGCACAAGCAGACAGGAAGAATAATTTTGTTTGATTACAACTTGGATGGAGGATCTGAGCCTCTCTTCTGATTGGCCGATTGTTTTCTTAGTGATCCAATAGAAATATAGCAGATTTCAGGTAAAAACACTCAGAGAAACCAAATCCTCCAAGGTTTGGATGGTGGGTCCAGGTGGGCGGGGCTTGGTGACTGCTTTGTTGTGACATCACAAAGTTCCAGAAGTCCTGACGGCTGGTTTTAAGGCTCAGTTTCTGAATACAGGCTGTGTGCATTTCTCTGTGGACTGAGGCTTTGATACTTTCACAGTATTAATATAGAAGCTAGACCTGATCTATAATCACACTACACATGGACACAGACCTTTACACTGGAGGAGCTTTAAATGAAACCACAAGGTTTGAAAAATCAGCTTTTAGTTGAACTGCAGACAACTCATAGATCACACATATGAAACCTGTGACAAGGAGCCACAGGAAGTTTATAAGTTTATCATATGTTATTTAATCTGAAAGGTAGTTAGTAACTACAGCTGTCAGATAAATGTAATGGAATAAAAAGTACAATAGCTCCCTCAGAAATGTAGTAGACTATAAGATAAAGTAGCACGAAATGCAAATACTCAGGTGAAGTCCAAGTTGTAGTCTGAAATTTATTTGAGTAAATGTACTTAGTTACTTTCCAACACTGTCATTTAATGTGTTATGTTTGTGTGTGAATATAAAGTCTGAGTGAAAACAAACAATGCTAACTGAGGGGAATTTGATTAGCGTTTTCTGAGAAACTTAATGTGGGAGTGACAAAAATGAAGTTAATCATTTTTCTCTTGGTAATTTAATTAATAAGCTTCTTATACACAGTTTTTTCCTCCTCGTTTAACAGGTCATCATACAAACTAAAATAAATATTATCTGTGTTCACAGGACAAGCAGCTCCGCGACGTGGGAGACTGGCGTAAGAACATTGAAGACAAATCTGATAGGAAGAAGATGTTCGACAGTTAAACGTCGTCTGTCACTGACTGTTGGGCTTCAGAGTGATTTTCAGGACAGAGTTCAGGTCTAATGTCTTTGTAACTGAAGAGTTTTATTCCAAAATACTGCACATCCACCTGCTTTTATTGAACAGATTGATGCATGACAGTTGCGGAGGTTATACTGGTAAAAAAAAATGTGTGTTTTAAGCTTCTGGTGCAGTAAGTGATGAATGGCCTTCATCTCCTCAATTGGTTCACAACTTTTTGAAAGTGATGATCAACTGTGCGAACACGGGATTTATCTTCATACTTACCCGTTATCCTCATATGCTTGCTTCAAAGCCTTGGTGTCACCAGCTGTTTTTAATTTAGGCAACTAAAAACAGTAGAAACATCAAGAGTCGAGTTGCACAGATTTGTACTTTGCAAAATCTGTGATGTGAGTTGAGACAGATAGGGCAGGGTTGGGTTGTTTGTGTTTTTTTAGCCCTGTAGTTTTTGGATGTCTCATTTTGGAATAAAACTCTTCAGCTGAATTGAAGTTGCCTTCTGCTTTTGCCTGTGTTGACACTGTACTGTGATGTATTTGTACTTTATGTGCCGATGTCAGTTAGCACGGGTAGTGAATTAAACCTGCTTGTGTTCTGTAAAGGCTGAGTTACACTTCTGCATCAAAATGTCACAATGTGCCTTCCTCAAACCTTCACTAAGAGCGTTTCTATCGCACATTTTCAATTTCCGCATTGAAAAAAAATTTGCGGAAATTTGAAGAAAAGGTTTTTTTTGAGGTTTAATTGAAGATCTTTTAATTACTTCATCTCGTTGTGTTCTCCTTGTATCTCAATAGACACACAGTCATAGAAATGTATTCGTCTCAAACAATTTCCAGTTCACTGCCACTGTAAACTGATGCGTATCAGGAAGTGAACATGATTTTTCTTTTTCTTCAGGAGTGAATCTAAAATCCAGAAAAAGAGAGAAAAAATCATGTTATTTTCACCATCTTTTACTTTGGAGTGTTGACTAAGCAGAATTATAGTGATTCAAATTGGTAAACCCTCAGAATAGTTTTACGTTTATATGACTGTAGCTTAGCTTAGCGTAACAAGCTAACGTTCAGTAATGGATCAAATAAAGCAAAAAGCCAGTCACAAACCAGAAAACAAAACTCACCTGCTGGTGACTGTAACTTCACATTGCAGAAGTGTAATTCAGTTTACAATCTGTACTGAACAACATCATGTCATCTTTTCTAAACTGTCTAAACCGAAATGTGATCGACTTTTCTCCTCGTCTTGTTGCTGTCACATTAAATATGAAAGCTTCATGTTCATCCTGTTGGGAGTCTTGTTGAATTTGTAAATGCTGTCCTGTTTTGGTTCACACGTCTTAAATTTTAAATCACAGTGTCTGAGATCAGTTAAAAAGTTGGATGTTTTGGGAGTTTGGTCTGTTTGTCAGATTATTTCAGGACGGTAAAATGTAGGTGACATTTGTATCATGCTAAACGTGAGGAAATAAGACGTAGCAGCTGTAAAAGCTTTTAAACCTGCCAGGATTGTTTAATATGACTGATAAAGAAAAATATTTTACTTAAAATGCAGCTTTTGTCGCACCCTGCAAAACTTGGACCATAACTTCTTTATAGTTAACGCTACACTTTTTCTGTAGCATTAGCTTTATGTTAGTCCCTTGCTAATGCAACATTTATATGAAGATTTAAGAGTCTTTCCAAAATGTATAAATTCTAAGCCTACAGATTATAAACTAATACTGATGTTTGAACTTTGAAATGTTTACACACTTTAGACAATAACCTGATGACTGTTAGCTAACTGTTAGCCAGGATTGCTAACGGTTAGCTAATGTCATCTGTAACAACAGACAGATCTAAACAGAAATGATTTTAGTGCAAATATTTATGCAAACTGGAAAAATTACTATATTTACTACTAATTTACTAAAAATACTACTTAAAGTCATTCTTTTACCTTATTTGATTTCTTGTTTTTAGCCTTTAAAAACTGTATGTTATCCATTGGGAAAGCAAACTGGGCTCAGATTGAAATAATTGTGATTTTTGTTCCAATCATTGCATATAATTTGTCAGTTGACTTCTGCAGCGGGCCGCTCAGTTTTTTATCATGTTAAATCTGCAATTATTCAACGTCATGAATGGAGAAGTCTTAGCTTTGTTTCCAGTCGTAGAAAATGAGGTGAGTTATTTACTTACGTGTCATTATATTTGGATGTTAGTAACGTTTTCCACATTAATCATTGGATTTTCTGTCATTTGTCTTGCAGATGTATCAACTCAAACACGACCTGGTGTGATTTGATTTGCCGCAGAGGTAAGTTCCTTCAGTTTCCTGTTGCTGTCAGATAAACTCTCTCCTCTCTGATGCTATGCTCACATTGGGCTGTAAATCTGTGACCCTTCATGTGGTTTGACAGCCAATAAAATAAAAAAGCAATAAAACAGGCATAACATTTTTGAAGGGTTATTTATGTGGATGCTGGGGGGGTTAGTGGTTTCACTTTCAGCTGCTCCTCTGCTCGGGGAGGGACAGTTGTGTCACAAAATATATTAAAACCTAATTGCATGCCAGTAACATGATTTTAGGCTCATTAGGCTCCAACAATGAATTTTAATTAATCTGTTGACTATCTTTTATATATCAGATTTTCAAATTATTTATAGCTTTCATTACACCTTTAGCATGTTGTTAAATATATGAAGGAAAACTTTAGTTCAGGCAAAACACTGAGGTCAGATTTCATCAAGTGTTTCGCTGATGCTTCACAGCTCATTCATTGGCTGTTTGGCCGTCAGCTGACTGCAATCATTCATGCAGGTGTACAGGGCGGCAGTTATAAGCTGATACTCCTCACTGGTCAAGTTTCCATCCAAATATAACTCAAAAGAAAATGCAAATTGATACATGTTTCCGTTAACTACTGTTGTGTGAATATTAGGAGTTGGTGCATCAAGATAAACACTTGGTGGCGCTAATTCTCAAATTGGTAGAAGAAGGCACAACGAGATGACCTAATGAAACGAGCTCCAGTCAAACCCACAACAATGGAAAACCATGAGGAAACCATAATGAAAATCTGACACTTCTGTCTGTTTCATGTGTTAATAGTCGAAAGTTTTTATGCTAAGTTGAGATAGAAATTGTGTATCAATAAAAACAGAATGCCGTGGAAAAAAGTAATTTAACCACATGAGGAGGGTGGAAACACTCTAAAAGCTCATGTTTCCATCATGTTTTCGATCTCACCTATGAGCTTTGACTTGATCTCTTTTACTGACCTCATCTTGTTGTGCCCTCTTCTTCTGCAGTGGTTTAATGGCGCCACCTGGAGAATTAGCTCCACCAACTGTTTACGAACCAACTCCTAATATTACCACAACAGCAGTGGGTGGAAACAGAAATTAACTGGCATTTTCTTTTGGAGACGTTTTGGAAATTTAGATGGAAACTTGACCCCTGTCTAAGTACCTACCCCAGCCTCGTTCTAATGTGCAGTCATTTTGATATTGTTGATCAAGCACCAATTTATTTCGTTCCACTTCCACAAAGTCAGGTGACTTTTGTATTTGCTGGTCCATGATCCAGTCACTATCTTTCAGTCCTGAGTATGTGTTGACTGTCATGGAGCTTCTATGTGAAAACTTTGGTGTATGACAAGCAAAGATTTTAAATATATATTAGTATTATGTTCACTTTTTGGCTCCTACATTGGAGCCCCCTCATCCCCTGGTTCTCGATCTGCTGTATTTCTGCTGAGCAAACAGACACATATCACACCCAGTGATGGCTGAAGCATATGAAACAACTGTCAGATTGTCAGACATTCGGTCTGTGGGCTCGGGTTTCCTGGCTCATCCTGATCTCAACCATACAGTGTTACAGCACTGAAATCCCATGGTAATCCTGATCACGACAGCCTGTGATCTGCACTGACAGCAGAGTATGAGGTACTTTTCATGTCAAAAAGAGGATGTATTTTATGGGGACGCCGGATGGTTGAATATTGTTGATGAGATGTCAATAATCTGTATGTTTTACTGTACTCGTCTCATTCCGTACCACATCTCTTTAACACTTTGCACCAAGACTTGACAGCCTCAACAATGTCTTGTGTATTTGGCTTCTCATTCCTCAGAGTTACTGCAGGTTATATTTGACCTCTGCTGACGGCTGTATCATATCCTCAGATGACAGCTGCCTCTTCACTTAGGCTCTCACCAGCCAGAATTAGAAATGAGAGAACAGAGCAGGAGAGCCATCTGGAGAGAGGAGAGCTACAACAGTTTGCCTTATGCAATGTCAACCGCAATGACCCATCTTTTAACCTGTGGCAAAAACATCTCTCATCTGCCCAATGATACAGTATTCATTTTCCCTTACAGGAGGTAAACTGTTGTGTCTGTCCTGCTCTGAATGAAAACTGTCCTCACAATTTACAGGTAAGAGAAAAAAAAAACAGAGAAGAATTATTAAATTCCTCGTTTACAAAGTTTATGCTACAAAAGCTCATTAAAGGTCCATATAATATAAAGGTCTGTGTCCATGTGTAGTGTGATTATAGATCAGCTCTAGCTTCTATATTAATACTGTGAAAGTATCAAAGCCTCAGTCCACAGAGAAATGCACACAGCCTGTATTCAGAAACTGAGCCTTAAAACCAGCCGTCAGGACTTCTGGAACTTTGTGATGTCACAACAAAGCAGTCACCAAGCCCCGCCCACCTGGACCCACCATAGGATTTGTTTTCTCTGAGGGTTTTACCTGAAGCAAAAAACAGTCAGCCAATCAGAAAAGAGGCTCTGAGCCTCTCTTCTGATTGGCTCAGAGCCTTACTAGAGCTCCAGAGAGAAGCCTGAGAGAGGAGATGTAAAACTACACTGAGATGAAACCACAAATATATCTTCTTATGGATCAACACTTCAAATAAAACACAGAAGAAGAAGAAAACATGGGACCTTTAATTAATTGCGTGGTTGGGAGGCATTTACGATACTAATGTTGGTATTGGAACAACTCTAGTTATAGATGAATCACTGTTGGATTATACAGTATGTCAGCACAACAAGTTTGTTTTTCAACTGTAAAATGTCAGCTCAGGTGGCTTCAGGTCGCAGCAAAGTTGCTTCTAGGTATTTGACTTTTTCACACTTTCTCGAGACGTCTGAGCTTCAAGAGACTCTGGTGTATTGTATATTATGTGAGAATATTTAGCTGAGTTACATTTCTGGTGGGAAAGGCAGTCGCAGTCCAACCTGCAGGTTCGTGTTCCAATCAAACACTGTGGCAGCTGATTTCATTGATTAGTTCATCCTCTCTAAACGAAGGCTGTTAATCAGTGAAATCAGCTGCTCTCAATGTCACATCCTTTAGCACTTCAAAATTAAACAAGCACTAGCATTAAAGCGTTACATTACAGTCATTGGGTGATGCTTTTAATCACAGTTGAACAAGATGTCAACAAAACATTTTGGACATTGTTAGACCAGTTTGAGCGCAGACACCTTTCAGTTTAAAATACAGTATTTCATCGGCGAATGGGAGCTGGTTTTACACCACAGCTGCACCACGCTGATGTCAAAGCAGTCCAGGTGAGACAAAAATTAAAGTTAGAACCTGAAGGTCATGTTCAAGAAAGCAGCTGTATTTATATTTCATTTAATATATACAATCCTCTCCTTCCAGTCCTGTGACCTGCTGGGTGGCAGCACTGACCTGATGAAGTGAGAGAAGAAGAAGGAAGTTAAAGAGCAGGTGAGTCTCCTGACTCATGTGACATCAACTTCTATCGATGGGTTTTATTTTCTCCCAAATTATTGGGTTATCAAAATTTTGAAATTGTGCCTTGCATGATTAAATTTGGGGATGAAATAAACTATAAGAAGCTAAAGTGAATCAATAAACCATTCAGCAGCACGGGTCAGAGGTTAGTGTCTCTGGCTGCAGTTTTTCAGTCGGCCACTAGATGGTGCTCCAACCTCCAAAAATACAACAGTTTGAGTGAATGGAAAAATCCTCAACTTTACCCTTTATGAAAAGGTCTACACAGTTTTTCCACAACACATTTGGCTCACAGTAGGCAACTCAGGTTTTTCTAACTAAGTTCTCCCCATCCTGGTGACTGTTAACTTAATTTATTAAAATCTTAACACCCAGAACAGAATTTTTAGATGCTCACAAATGTCAGATTCAGCAGAACATGAGTAATTTTAACCGTAATACATTAATATGCGGTGTATGAAAGGTTATGTGCTTGGTAAAACCTGTCAAATTAGATTTTACCAAGACTGTCTTTATT